TTTTTTAACCTTCCGTCTTCTTCTTCTTCTTCGTCTTTTTTCCCTCTTTTTTAACTACTTGAGATGTCTGCCTGCCATTGGATCGTTAGTGACCCAAGGCCGACCATATTCAATGGCGATGGCGATGGTGATGGCGAGAAGATGGAGAGGCAGATGGTGTCCAGGTTCCATGGATTGATTGGTCAACAACAGACAGGTGTAGTGCACGGCTACCATCCTCTTCGCCATCGCCATCGCCATCGCCATCGTGTGCGATCTGAAGGTCGAGGTGATTCAATGGCGATGGCGATGGCGAGAAAATGGGGATGGAGATGGAGATGGCGAGAAAATGGGGATGGAGATGGAGATGGCGAGAAAATGGGGATGGAGATGGAGATGGAGATGATGTCTAGGTCCGATGGATGAAATGAGCAACAGCAGGTGGAGATGGAGATGATGTCTTAGGTCCGATGGATGAAATGAGCAACAGCAGACCGGTGTAATGAACGGCTGCCATCCTCTTCGGCCGAATAGAACGCACGGTCGTTATCTCTGTATCTAGACTGAAAGTTGGCCTGAAGTTCACCTGCAATGAATGCGCGAAAGCAAAGTAACATTTTTTTTTTTTAAATGCAAAACGAAAAAGAAATTCAGCTACCGTACACGCGCTAAGGGGAAGATGGTAGGGCTACCCGTCTTCCCCCCCCCCACCAATAACGCACCCTGATAATGAATGTATACAAGCTATATTTCCGGTCAGGTACGGCCTAAATGAGATTGCCTTGTGTTCGCGGGAAGACGGTGCGGTTCAAAGATCGACCGATCGGCGGTCAGGGTTTCAAGAGTGACCCGTCGGTGACCGGTCGGCGGTCAGTGTTCAAGACCGACCGTTCGCCGAGGAAGAGCCTGGAAGACGGTTTTTTTTTTGTTTTTTTTTTTTTTTTTGTTAAGCTGCTGGTTTTGTTTTTTTCCTTGTTCTCTTAGAAAGGGAAAAGAAAACAAAAAACCTGTTGCAACTCGATCGGACACGTATTGTGACCATCAAAAGAAGAGAAAAAATCTACACCTCCAACAAAAAAAAAAAAAAAAAAAAAAAATCTACACCATTGATTCGATTCATAAGCAATGATCATGGGCTGAGAGGATCATTCAATGCAAAAAAGCTGTAAGCATTTCTGAGCACGGGGAAAAACAAGAAGAAGGTGTTTTTTTTTGGTTTTTTTTTTAAGCAAATCAAAATTTTATTGTAATACTGGGAAACTTTTTTTTAATTATTATTATTTTTATTATTATTTTTAAAGGCTAATTCTTTAAGCCCAACCAACTAAATTAAATTACCTGTCGAATCTGGACAGGACGGCCTTTCAGGGCTTTTTTTTATTGTCATTATAGTATTACGGGGAACCCCGTAGCAGCCACACCCGTGGTCAATACTGGGGGGGGGAAAAAAAAAAAAAGGAAGGCTGGGCGACGTGTCCAGCGTCCCTCACATCCATAGAGGGGCTGGCTTGTGTATGTGGTCCGACGTCCTATACAGGGGCGAGGTCCCACTTACAACGCTTTCTGGACCAAGTGCATTCGGATGAGTCCCAAATTTTGAATGTATGCGGTCCAGAAAGCGTCCGAATGCATGTAGAGTGTTGTGAGGTTGAGACGGAAATTCAGATTGAGAATGAGATTGACACTTCACAACACTGTACATGCATTAGTACACTTTCTGGACCAGCTGCATTCGGACCAGTCCAACATTTTGAATGTATGCGGTCAAGAAAGCGTCCAAATGCGATTAGAGTGTTGTAGAGTGGAGCGAGGCTCCGTTCTGTTCTTCTCCGTTAGGCTCCGTTCTGCTTTGCTCCGTTAGGTTCCGTTGGCTGTGAGTACTACTGGGGTGTGTTTGAGTTGCAGTGTGCCAATCACGACATGTGCAGTGGGTGAATCGTGATGGAGATTGAGAAGCAGGAAGTCCGTTGTCCTGTGACCTTTTCCTGAGGTGGGAGACGATGAGGTACTAGCCTACTAGGTGCTGAGGGAAATTTAATGCTTTTTTGTCTTTCTTTGGTTTTAAGGGCTTAGGCCCAACGTTTGATCCACTGTGCTGGGGTGAACAGAGGGATATAAGGAGGCAAAGAATTACTCGTATGAAACGGGTGTGTCATGTTTGAAGTGTGATGGTGTATGGGTGCCCTTCCACCCATCCATCCATAACCGCAGGTGTTCCTTTCCCCGTTCTGACTTGCCCGTCCCCTCTTCATCACGACCGCCGTGGTCCTCCTCCTCCCCCACCTTCTCCTCCATCTTCTCCTCATCCACCTCCTCCACCTCCTCCACCTCCTCCACCTCCTCCACCTCCTCCACCTCCTCCACCTCCTCCACCTCCTCCACCTTCTCCTCAACCACCTCCTCCACCACCTCCTCAATCTTCTCCTCCTCCGCCTGAGTAAGGACCAAACCCATCACTAGATAAAATCCCTAAAAATGCTTTCATTATTATGCAACAGAACTGAAATACCGACTTTTTGTATATTACTAGGAAGACATTCTATGAATTAGTCTTTCTGTTTTCATTGGACTCCCCCGTCCCTGCCCCACATACCGCCTTTGCACCTGCCCCTTCCCATTATAGCCATCAATTCTTTACCTGTCACTCTTAGGGTCAATCTTTCCTCAACCCCCCCGTCCCTGCCCCACCTACCGCCTTCGCACCTGCCCCTTCCCATTTCCCCC